GGGGGGCGCATATATCTTTTTGAATTGGCGTTTTGTGTCATCTTTAATTTCAATGTTTTATAGTTTTCAGTGTACAAGTCTTTCATCTCTTATTCCTAGGAATTTTATTTTTTCTGGTGCAACTGTAAATGGGATTGTTACCTTAATTTCTCTTTCTGCTACTTGGTTATTAAGTATATAGAAACAGCAACATATTCCAGTATATTACTTTGGTATCACGCAAGTTTACTGAATTCATTTATTCTAATAGTTTTTTGATATTTAGGCTTTTCTACATATAGTATCATGTCATCTACATATACTGATAGTTTTACTTCTTCCTTACCAATTTGGATGCTGTTTATTTCTTCTTGTTGTCTGATTGCTGTGGCTAGGACTTCTAGTACTATACTGAATAAAAGTGGTAAAAGTGGATATCCATCCTTGTCTTGACCCTGATCTTAGAGGAAAAACTTATTGTTTCACCCTTGAGTATGTTAACTGTGGGCTTGTCATATATGGCTTTATTATGTGCCCTTCAAACACACTTTGTAGACAGTTTTTATCATAAACAGATGTTGAATTTTGTCAAATGCTTTTTCTGCATCTATTGAGATATGGTTTTTATCCTTCATTTTGCTAATGTGATGTATCATGTTGATTGATTTGCAGATATCGAACCATCCTTGCATTCCTGGAATAAATCCCATTTGTTTATGGTGAACAATCCTTTTTAATATATTGTTGAATGTGGTTTCATAAAATTTTGATTTTTTTTTTTTTTTTTTTGCATCTATATTCACCAAGTAGGTTGTTTTTGGTTTTGTTTTCTAGTGTCTTTGTTTGGTTTTGGTATCAGGGTAATGTGCTGGCCTCTTAGGATAAATCTGGAAGCTTTCCTTCCTCTTTTATTTTTTGGACTAGTTTGTGAAGAATAGGTATTAACTCTTCTCCAAACATTTAGTAGAATTCACCTGTGAAGCAATCTAGTCCTGGACTTTGTTGTTTTTTTATTACTAATTCAATTTCATTACTAGTAGTTGATCTGTTCAGATTTTCTATTTCTTCCTGATTTAGTTTTGGAAAATTGTGTGTTTCTAGGAATTCATCTGTTTCTTCTTGGTTGTCCAATTTTCAGTATATACTTTTTCATAGTAGTCTCTTATAATCCTTTGTATTTCTGCGGTGTCAGTTATAATTTCTCTTTCATTTCTGATTTTATTCAAGTCCTCTTTTTCTTGATGGGTCTGGCTAAACATTTCTCAATTTTATCTTTCTCAAGAACTAGCTCTTGATTTCACTGATCTTCTTTTTCTTTTCTTTGGGGGGGTCCCTATTTCATTTATTTCTCCTTTCATCTTTATTATTTCCTTCTTCCAACTTTGGGCTTTGTTATTCTAGTTTCTTTAAAGTTGGATTGTTTGAGATTTTCCTTGTTTCTTGAGATTTGAGATAGGCCTGTACAACTGTGAACTTACCTCTTAGAACTGTTTTCACTGTGTCCAAAGATTTTGGACTGTTGTGTTTTTATTTTCATTTGTTTCCATGTATTTTTTTCTAACTTCCTCTTTCTGTCTTGACTCTTTGGTTGTTTAGTAGATTGTTGTTCAGCTTCCACATGTATGGGTTTTTTCTAGTTTTGTTTTTTTTTTTTCCTTGTAACTGATTTCTAGTTTGATATGGTTGTGGTCAGAAAAGATGGTTGATATGATTTCAGTATTCTTAAATTTATTGAGACTTGTTTTGTAGCCTAACATGTGATCTATCCTGGAGAATGTTCCATGTGCACTTGAAAAGAATGTGTATTCCGCTGCTTTGGGATGGAAAGTTCTGTATTTCTATTAACTCCATCTAGTCTAATATGTCATCCAAAGCCACTACTTCTTTATTGATTTTTTGTCTGGATGATCTATCTATTGATGTAAATCAGGTGTTAAAGTCTCTTACTACTATTGCATTACTGACAAGTTCTCCTTTTGTGTCTGTTAATATTTGCCTTATATGTTCAGGGCCTCCAATTTTGAGTGCATAGATATTCATAACTGTAATATAGTCTCTTGTTGGATTGATCCCTTTATCATTATGTAATGCCCTTCTTTGTCTCCTGTCTTTGTTTTAAAGCCTCTCTTGTCTAATATAAATATTGCTTATCCCAGCTTTTCTTCACCTCCATTTGCCTGGAATATCTTTTGCCATCCCTTTATTTTTAGTCTGTATGTGTCATTAAGTACAAAGCAAGTCTTTTGTAGGCAGCATATAGATGGGTCTTTTTTTTTTTTTAATCTATTCAGTTACCCTATGTCTTCTGATCAGAGCATTTAGGCCATTTAATTATTGGTAGGTACATACTTATTGCCATTTTGTTCATTGTTTTCTCATTATTTTTGTAGTTTTTCTCTGTTCCTTCTTCTCTTCTCTTGTAATTGATGACTTTCTTTAGTATTACGCTTGGATTCCTTTCTGTTTTTTGGTGTATCTATTAGAGTTTGCTGGTATGTCATTACCATAAGGTTCATATATAACATCCTAAGTATATAGCAGTCTATATTAAGTTGATGGTCACTTAAGTTTAAACAAATTCTCAGAGAACTAGATTTCTACTCACATCCACATTTTATTTATGTCATATTTTACATCTTTTTGTTTTGTGAGTCCCTAATCTTTTTATTTATTTTTTTTTAAAGATTTCACTTATCCATTTGAGAGAGAGAGAATGAGAGAAAGAGAGAGAGAGAGCACATGAGAGGGGGGAGGGTCAGAGGGAGAAGCAGACTCCCTGCTGAGCAGGGAGCCCAATGCGGGACTCAATCCCAGGACTCCAGGATCACAACCCGAGCCGAAGGCAGTCGCCCAACAAACTGAGCCACCCAGGCGCCCCCCTAATTTTTTAAATATCGATCTTACTACTTTTGTCTTTTCACCTTCACACTAGTTTTATAAGTGATTGATATACTACCTTTACTATACGTTTGCTTTTACTCATAATTTTTTTTTCTTTTCAAAGTTTTCTTTTAATTATGACCTTTTCTTTTTCACTTAAAGAATCCCTTGAACATTTCTAGTAAGACTGGTTTAGTGGTGATAAACTCCTTTATCTGATGTATGCCTGAGAAACTCCTTATCCCTCCTTCAATTCTGAATGATCATCTTGCCAGGTAGAATATTCTTGGTTGTATTTTCCTTTCAGCACTTGGAATATATCATGCCACTTCCTTCTAGCTTGCAGTTTCCACTGAAAATCAGCTGATAGCCTTATGGGGTTTCCCTTGTACATAACTAGTTGTTTCTCTCTTGCTGCACTTTAGAGTGTGTCTTCAATCTTTGTCATTTTAATTATTGTGTGTCTTGGTGTGGATCTCCTTGGGTTCATCTTGTTTGGGGTTCTCTGTGTTTCCTGGATCTAGATGTCTATTTCCTTCCCAAGATGAGAGAAGTTTTCAGCTATTACTCAAGTTTTCTGCCTCTCTCTCTCCCCCCTCTCTTTCTTCTCTCTCTGGGACTTCTATAATGTGCACGTTAGTACACTTCACACTTTTCGTAGAGATCCCTTAACCTATCCACTTTTGTTTTCTTTTTGATGTTCACCTTGCATGCTTTCCATTATCTTGTCTTTCAGATTGCTGATCCATTGTTGGCATCCTTCAATCTACTGATGATTCCCTCTAGTGTATTTTTCACTTCAGTTATTGTATTCTTCAACTGTGATTGGTTCATTTCTTTGTTGAAAGCCTACTCATCCATTTTTCTCTGAAGTCCGATGACCATCGTTATGACCATTACTTTGAACACTATATCAGGTAGGTTGCTTATCTTCATTTTATTTTTTTCTGAGGGTTTATCTTGTCCTTTCATTTGGAGGATATTCCTGTCTCCTCATTTTGTTTGACTTTCTGTATTTCTATGAATTAGGCAGAATAGCAGCTTCTCCAAGACTTGAAGGAATGGCCTTGTGTATGGTCGTTCATCCCATGCCTATTGACTTTGGTTAGCTGGCTAGAGCTGTAACAAGTTCAGGCCAGGGGCCCTAAAGCACTCAGCACTGGGGCAGTCGTGGTGGGATGGCTAGAACTGAAGTGGGCACGGGGGGACTGGGGGAGGAGGCTCTGAGGGCACTCTGCACTGGGCGCAACCAGAGCCAAAGTGGGTGAAGGCTTGTGCAAAGGGCTCCCAGGGTAATCCACACTGGGAGTACTTAGATGTGTGATGACTGGAACTGTGGTGTGCCAGGCTAGAAGGTCTTGGGGCACTCCTTCCCCAGGGTTCTGGCAAGACAACTTGAGCCAAAGCAGGTGCAGGCCTGGAGTGTTCTGGGATGCTTTGCACCTTGGTGAGACAGCTGTTGCTATGGTGGGTGGTATTCAGGGGTGTCCCAGCATATGCTGTACTGTACAGTCAGCTTCAGTTGTTTTTCAGGAGGAACCGCTCTACAGATCAGTATAGACTTGGTATGTCCATGGAGGAGGTGAGTTGAGGATCTTCCTGTGCTACCATTTTAGATCCTCCTTCCATGCACTCTTCTACTTCTACTGCTGCCACTCTCACTGCTCTCAGAATGGAAAGGACTAATTCCTCCAAATGTGCCCCCATCTGGTTTTCTTCTTAAACCGACTTATGTCCTATCACTGCCTTCTACCCCCACTCCAAAGTTCTGAACATTTTGACAAGTCTTGCTTGGCTACCAACTCAAGTTCCATTGCTTAGCCTGGTTCCTCAACCCCAAAGCTACCTTCTCCCTGACCCCACCCCCATCTTATTTACCATTATTCTATTTCTTCTGATGCTCTCTTCAAATTGTTCCTGGCCCTTCCCCTCCATGTGAAATGTCACAACCTTCAGAAATCCCATCCATCCATCAGGCTACCTGCTCCCCCTACCTTGGGTCCTGCCCCTGCTCTCGTCTCCATTTCCCTACTGTTTGGTCTTACTTTCTTATTACTGCAACCAAATTTGACCTTATATTACTTGAGTAGATAATTCTTCTACTGAAAGCAAGCTACCCATTCTGCAAATACAATAAGAAATAGTTTTAAGTTAAAACACCAAATTTATTGCATTATATTGAACTATATGCACACACATAGAAAATAAACATTTCATATAACTGTATATCTTTTTTAATCTTGTATTATAAAGACTGAAAAAACTACCAATTTAGCAATTGAAATAAGTTTTAAAAACAAAAAAAAAAGCAAAAATCTACATCCTTCATTGAGATCTGATGCTGTATCACGGTTCATAAATACTTCATTTTATATAAATAAGTCTTTCCTCTAGTGACTAACTAGGAATTTAAAATTAGGCTGACATGGATTCTTTGATCATGTAGAATTTTCTTATCCCATGATGAAGAAGGTTGAGCATGTCGTTATTTTTGATACATATATTTGCTCTAAACACAATCCCCCCTGAAATCCCACTGTAAACAAACATTTCAAATGCAATAAACAAAAGTCCCATAGTAAAGAATGTCCTTAAGTGTTAGCAATTAGGGAAAAGGAAAAAAAAAATAGAAACTTTGCAATTTAAATAGAAATTAAAAAAATAGACTGCATGCATCCACTAGAAGAGGAAGGGAGCATTAAATCAGGTAACAATGGGATGAAGTGAGTAAGAGAGAAAGGGAAGGAGAGGAAGGAAAGAGAAAGAGGCAGAGGGCATAAATTGATAGGGAAAGAGGACAAGAAATTTATTATTTCTACTTTCCTTGGAGAAGACACTCTTAAAAAAATTAATGCAACTTGCTCCAAAAGCGAGATAACCGAAGGAGTGGGGGTCTATCACCTCACCTTATTGTCGAAGGGACTTGGCTGAACAACAAAACAAAATTCGGCTCAGCTGCAATGCTAAGCTGCTCTGCACATCTTTAAGTAGGTCCAGGAATAGGCAGAGCCAAGGGGAGATTGCTAGTCCCTCGACAACTTCTTTTTAAAGCAAGATGTGTTCATAAAGGCCCCCCTTAATTCTCCAGAGTTCAGCCAAAATAATGGACCGAGATTCAGCTTGCTAGACCTGGGACTTTCTAAAGTAGTCCTTGCCTCCTCAGTCCTTAGAGTAGGGCTGCAACAAGCCAGGAGCATGTCCAAGTCTGCAGAGAGAGGAGCCGTCCCGCACGTGCACGTAAGCAAGGACGCATCAGTCAAAATCATTCTTGCAGAGGAATGAGGAGGACAGGAAGCACTGTGAGCAAACAGCAAGGTTGAGAGAGACATTTGGGAAATGAGAGGTTAAAAACCCACTGCCATTTTCTCCAGCAGAGTGCAACATATTCACAAGTGCCAGGAACACTACTAGGTAATTTGGTTTAAAAACAAAAATGCCAATTTTTCACCCCCGTCCCCAACCCCTAATTTTTCAAAAAGGTTGCCTACTGCTCACAAGCCCAGAAACACATCAACCAGGTTCAGGATTCAAAAGTCCCAACCCACTTAGACAATAAAAAAATAGAACTCCCTTCCCCATGGTTTTCTGTATGGGCCTCCATGTGGACACTGAGGAAGGGAGGGAAATCTGGGGCACGCTGGGGCGCCTCAAGCTAAACTAAACCCTTCATAGTTGTCAAGGGCCTGGGTCAGCCGAGTGCTCAGGATCTCTTTGCTGCTGTATTTGGGGAGATCGAGAAGGTTGTAACAAGTGTGGGCCACGGGCAGGTACTCCTCCCCGCTGGTCGTGGACTGGATGACGATCTGCAGGCTCGCCATGCCGTAGATGGGAATGCGGTCGCTGCCCGTCAGGAACACTGAGGAGAAAGGGAAAGGACATTATGAGCCAAGCAGCTGAGGAGCAGCACTCCGCAGCCCTCCATGGAAAGGAGAGGGAGGCGTGACACCCTGTGGCTCGCCTGAGAAGTACACTTTTATGTGCCATTATGTATTGCATGAATATTCATCTACGCTTGTTCTTATAAAGCAAAAGAGACTGCATTTCAAATCCTGGGGTGTTTTTTGTTGTTGTTGTTTTATATGGATAAAAATTCTGTTTTTTACTAGTTCTTTTCAGACCCTGATTATACACGGACACAAATCACCCATCCAAATGAAAGATGCCCTCAAATAAAAAATGGCCTCAATCAAATGTATGTCCTCATAAATGTTATGAGCTGTCACAAAATCAGAGAGGAAAAGAACAGCTGACCTCAGGGGGAAGCCAGGAAGACAACCATCATCTGTGGGACCTCAAGGTCTCCTCTGGCCAAGGGTCTAGTGTGTATACCCCTCCTGAGCTAGTGAGTATCCATTTGGGATCTGTTTGTTCCTTTCCCTAATTTTCTTAAACCAAAAGAGCTGACAATGATGTTATGTTAGACATTTCACTCTTGTAACACACTGTGACTTGGCAAAAGAAAAAAAAAGACAGAGACCAACACAGCTGTCTTTCCATGTTTTCTAGCAATACATAACCTCAGAGTTAAATTGCTGGAAATTACTACAAACAAATCATTGGTTAAGGAGCACTTTCAAAAAACCTATTACCTGAGGCTGTGGTATATAAACATTCTTGCCAATATCTGCAGAGTTACTAAAAATTTCCACAAGTCTAATGATCTCTGAACAGAAAAATGTCTTTCAAGGAAATCTCCATGACTACGCTCCTCTTGGTTGGTACAGCCCTACGAGTTCCCTTGACAAACCTTAACCTGTCATTTGACTTATATGCCACTGAATCTCAAGAGCCAAAGGAACTAGGCAGAGGAGAAGCAGGGCTTTTTTTTTTAAATGTTCTTGTATAAGCCCGCCCCTCCCCCCACTTCTCTCATCCTCACTCTATGGGAGTAGTAGAATCTGGGGGTACATCTTGCATTAATATTAATATATGCTCATGCTTTAAAGCAAAAGGGACTGCCTTTCAAATCATGTTGTTTTATTTTATACTATTCATTGGCAAATTTCTGACCCTGATTAGATACAGACACAAAGATTAAAACTATTTTTGAAAGGCTGAATGCGTTCACGTAAACTAGGCTTCATTCTCCTTTCCAAATTTATTACTCTTCTCAAATGTCACCTAGCCAGTCACAAAGGACCGTATATTGTATGATTCCATTTATGTAAAATGTCCAAAATAGGCACATCTGCAGAGCCAGAAAGCAGATGGGTAAGGGGGGGTCGGGTAGGGTGAGAGCCTGGAAGGAAATGGGGAATGATTGCTAATGAGGTCAAGGTTTCTTTTTGAGGTGATGGACATGTTCTAAAAATTATTGATAGTATCACATTTCTGTGACTATAGTAAAAACCACTGAATTATACATTTTAATTGGCTGAATTGTATGCTTTGTGGATCATATCTCAGTAAAGCTATTCTAAATCATATCTCCCCAGTTACATCTGTAGCAGACACTGTAAATTTTTCAAAAGCCTAGGGAGATAAGGGAAGTTAATCCATTTAGATTTTATCAACGTAATTTTTTATCATACTCACATATAAAATAACTAATATTTCTAAAGCAATTGAAAATCAGTGAAATGCTTCTTTTCTTTCTTTCATGCAACACATCCTATCAGGCAACAAATATGGAAGTACGACCTATGTTTGCCTGAGATCTCATTAAGACGAGAAGTGGAAATATATTCCCCTCACTTACTCTTTTTCATTTAAGAGTTGACCTTAACCTATGGGGTATATCATCCTCCACCATATGCAACACTAACATGTGGACAAACACCATGTTAATATGACTGATACTTACAGAGAAACTTCTTCTTCTTTTCCAATGGAAACTCATGAAATGTTTCCCAAAATAGTTTCACAGTGGGATGTGTGGCTGAGTAATCACCCTTGTAGATGGCAGTCTGCCCAAAAAAGACAAAAAAAAAAAAAAAAAAAAACCTATCTTAGAGAAGAAGAATATTATAGAGGACATACATTTGTGCAACGTTTACAGTTGGGAGTAAGAAATCACCACTGAGATAAGGAGGCTTCCAATTGCTCCTCAACCACAGACCGCCTGGAAAGAGACCAGGCCCTGGGCCCACCTGGCCAGGCCACGGCTGCTTCCATGGAGAGAAAGATAGTCCCGTCTCTGCTCACCTCTTCCAGTTCCTGCCAGTTGTAGTTGCTGTTCCCCACCATCATAGCCCGCAGTTCGGAAGGCTGGAAGAGCTCAAGCACCTTGCCACCACACACCTTTAGGAAGCCACTGGAGAAGGCGGTATACCATTCGTGAACTGAGATCTGGAAGACGTAATTCACGTAAGCATCCACGAACTCCTGCCTGCCAGAAGACCAAAGAAACAGAATACAGTCAGCCCCATGTCTTGTAGAGGTTCTGGGTGGAGAGAGATGAAAAATGGGATTTTGTCAAACTCTCACACCAGGATGCATCCCAGAGCCTATCAGCCAGCCCGAGGATTCCACCAGCATTCCAGGTGATCTAGGGGCAGGGAAGACAGGCAGGAAGGGGGGGAGGCCAGGCAGGTAGAACCATACTACTGACTTCATTTTACCTGAGGAGTTCCAGTTTTTCATCTTGCTTACTGTCCTCCTTAAAATTTAGTTTGGGAAGGGGCGCCTGGGTGGCTCAGTTGGTTAAGCGACTGCCTTCGGCTCAGGTCATGATCCCGGAGTCCTGGGATCGAGTCCCACATCGGGCTCCCTGCTCAGTAAGGGAGCCTGCTTCTCCCTCTGACCCTCCCCCCTCTCATGTACTCTCTCTCTCTCATTCTCTCTCTCTCAAATAAATAAATAAATCTTTAAAAAAAAAAATTTAGTTTGGGAAAAAATACAGACTTTTTCTGCTGAAAGAGAAAGTCTAAGATAACAATTCTAGGCTTCCTCCCTTCTTTTCAGAAACGAGTAAAGTTAAACCATGTGCTATTGGAATCCTCGCCTATTCTAAAACGTAATTTCGTAACTCCTTTCTGGAAAGGACTGTGTTATACAATGGGCTCCATCTCATTAGTAATCAGTTAAATGCAAATTAAGACAGTGACTTCCTGCAAGTCTGACTCACAGCAAGCTGGCTTCCTGGGCTGCTTATTGTAGATAAGGGGCTGGCTTCCTGGGCAGGTGTCTGCAGGTTGCAGGTCAGAGTTCTATTTTTACACATGGTCTGGCCATTGTCTGTATGCATTTGGTCTCTCCCTAGTGCGAATGTCAACTGTGAACTGAGACGTAACATCTGGGAGAATTAGTTGCCAATACCTGGAAAAGCTGAAAATGTAAATACCCTTTAACTGAGCTACTCCCCTACCAGGGGGTGGGCCCAGACAGACTCTCACCTGAGTGCACAAGACAAGTACACAGATATTCACTGCAGCATTTTCTTGTAATACAGAGAATTGGAAGACACAAAACTAAATATCCATTAATATGAGGATGGACCAAAAGAAGATGGTATGGTCATAAGACAGAAACCATAAAGCACATTATTTTAATGGAATTAACTAGGCCCATATTTATCAAAACAAACAGAATCTCAAGAACAGTGTTTGAGTGAAACCCAGGTGTTTGATTGTTAAGTACATAACACTATGATAGCATTTACATAAGTTGTTTTTCTACATTTTTCTTTTCCTGCCATTAGTCCCATCTTGAATCAATTAACTGCATCATATGCAACCAAAGGACCAACTACTGACTGCTCAGTTAGTGAGGTATCATCATTCATTCAGTGTTTTTTTTTAACATTTATAACAATGCTATCTATAAGAGGCAGTGGCTCTGCTACTTACATCTTTTGACCCTTGGGTAAGTTATTTAAGCTCTCTGTGCCTCAATCCCTTCATCTGTAAAATGGGAAAAATAAGAGTATATATAACCCATGGGACTGTTACAAAAATTAAATGCGTAAATACATGTAAAGTTCTTAGAACCAGGGCTGCTTTGTAAATATTAGCAATTATTATTAAATGGCTTATGGCTATAAGACTTTGTTTATTATGAGTGAAATTGTATGTGTGGTGTAGGTAAGAAATGTGGGTTAATTTTTAAAAATAAAAGCATTAATTAATTGGTCTTAATATACACATTATAAAAGTATAAAAACAAGAAAGAACAAGCATCGAATGCATCAGTGTTTTGCCTGGGTGAGAGGAGGGTGGACGAGAGGGAAGGGGGTAAGAGGAGGCACAGGAATCTCGGGCATTGTTTTCTTTTATTACAAAACTGAAGCAAATACTGTTTACTCTGGTTCATACATACAAAGATGTCTGTCATTTTAGTCTGTACTTTTCTGTATTTTAAATTTTTTTTTCTAAAAATTAAATTAATCTGACATTATGAAGACAGATCCTTTCTACCTATCCTTCACCATAATATCCTACTTCGTAAAACTCCCCTTGAACGTCTTGGCTCTCCTCCAAGCAAACATTTCTTCCACAACCACCATCTCACCCCTAACTAACCAACAGGCAGTCATACAGTGGAGAAGTGAAGCAGAAGGGATTCAAATGCAGGCTCCGCCATGTCCCCTGTGCTAACTACTAAGGCTTTCTTTTCTCATCTCTAAAATGGGGTAAGAGAGAGACACAGCGAGAGAGGGAACACAAGCAGGGGGAGTGGGAGAGGGAGAAGCAGGCTTCCTGCTGAGCAGGGAGCCCGATGCAGGGCTCGATCCCAGGTCCCTGGGATCATGACCTGAGCCAAAGGCAGACACTCAACGACTGAGCCACCCAGGCGCCCCAATGTTGAGTTCTTAAAACAAAAGCCGCTAATACAGAAAGATTATTGTACATCTTAACCACAGATGCTGGATGTTTCTTACACTGCATTCAGTGTACTACTTTCCTAAAACCCACTGGATAAAACAAAGAGGGTTTTCCTTGTACAACTGCCTAAGAGAAGCACCATCAGCATGATATTTTACTGTAGACAGTGATGGTTAATTTTATGTGTCGACTTGGCTAGGCTACGGTAGCCAGTTATTTAGTCAAACACCAGTCAAGATGGCACTGTGAAGGTATTTTTTAGATAGGATTAATATTTCAATCCATAGACTCTGAATAAAGCAGATTAGTCTTCATAATGTGGGTGGCCCTCACCCAATCAGTTAAAGGCCTTAAAAGCCTGAGGTCCTCCACATCCTACAAAGAGGAAGGAATCTGGCCTCCAGACTGCAACATCCATTCCTGCCATAATTTTCAGCCTGCCAGCCTGCCCTGAAGATTCCCAACTTGGCAACCTCACAATCATGTGAGCAGATACCCAATGATTAGTATCTCTTTCTGTCTTTCTTTCTTTCTCTATATGTGTATGTATATACACACATATATGTTGCCTTTGAGCTAGGCCATCAGTATTTTCCTGCCTCCAGACTGTAACAGAAGCATCAGCCCTTCCCCAGTCTCAGCCTTTGCACTAGAACTATAACCATTGGCTCTCCTGGGTCTGCAGCCTGCTGACTGCAGATCCTGGGCCTTGTCTGCTTGCATTTATGTACGTGAGCACACATGTGCGCACACGCACACACCACCCCCCACTGGTCCTGTTTCTCTGGAGAACCCTAACTAACATATCATGTAAACAACATCTAAATTAGGTATGGGTGAGACTCGGGATTTGATTAATCCTGAGGTAAAATTCTTCCACATATACATCTCCTACTGGCTCTGTTTCTCTGGAGAAGCCTAATACAGATTTTGGTACCAGAAAGTGGGGTACTATAATAGCAACTACCTGTAATTGTAGAATGACTGTGGAATTGGGTAACAGGTAGAGACTGCCAGAGTTCTGAGGCAGTTGATAGAAAAAGCCTATACTGTCTTAAAGAGACAGTTAATAGAAACAGCAAAGGAGATCCTGATGAAGGCTCAGAACGAAAAGAAGAGAGCTGTAGAGAAAGCTTGTGTTGTCAGAAAATAAACATACATCATGAACAGAATTTGGCAAGAAATTTGAATATTAAAATGCTTCTGGTGAAGTCGCAGATGGAAATGGGGAACATGTTATTTATTGGAAATTAGAGGAAAGGAACTCTTGTTATAAAGTGGCAAAGAACTTGGCCAAATTGTGTTCTAGTGCTTTGGAGAACTTGTAAGTGATAAACTTGGATATTCAGCTCAGGAGATTTCCTAGCAAAGTACTGAAGGTGTGGTCTGGTTTCTTCATACTGCTCATAGTAAAATGAAAGAGGAAAGGGATAAATTGAAGGAGGAATTGTTAAGCAGAAAGGAATTAGAACTTCAAGGTTTGGAAAAGTCTTAGCCTACCCAGATAACACCCTCTGGAAACAGGGCCAAGGGTATGGCTGAAAAATGGTTTGCTGAAGAGATCAAGCACGTGAATTCATGAATCCTATCAATCATCTCAGCAGAAGCTAGGAATAGAAATGTGGTTATCCAGGAAAGATCTGTGGAGAACCCTCTTGTCTAATGACTTGGACCCCCATGAATTGCCTGGAAAGCCAACAAAGTTTAAAAAAAAAAAAATTCAAGAATAGAAACTGCCAGTTTGCACCAAAGAGGCGGAGCTGGATAAAACAAAGGAAGGCTATTGGATTTCTGGGATTCTACTGGTATGAAATGAGCCTACAGAACCAACTGGCTGTAAACAGGTGTTATCTTTTAAGAAAAGGGAAAAATGACCCCGAAGGCAAATCAGAGTCCAGTGAGCTTATCCCTGCCACCACGGGCACAGGTTGAGGAACCAGGGCCAGTAAGTTCCTGGCCCCGGAGTAGGGCCACCACCCCTGTGGGCCAGAGGACACAGCCTAGACCCCAAGAGAATTATTCTCTGAACCTCAAAATCCAGTGAAATTTTCCCTGCTAGGTTAAAGACTTGCTTGGGACCTATGACCTCTTTTCTCCTGATGTCTCCCTTTTACAATGGAAATGTCCATCCTATGCCCGTGCCCATGATCGTATTTGGAAGCAGATAACTTGTCTGGCTTCACAGCTGTGGAAGAATTTTACCTCAAGATTAATCAAACTCTGAGTCTCACCCATACCTGATTCAGATGATATTTACAGGATATATTAGCCAAGATTCTCCAGAGAAACAGAACCAGTAGGGTTGTGTGTGTGGGGGGGTGCACATACATGTATATAAATGTAGGCAGACAAGCCCCGATACCTGCAGTCAGCAAGCTGCAGACTCAGGAGAGCCAATGGTGTAGTTCTACTAGTCCAAAGGCAACAGGCATGAGACTCAGGAAGGGCTGATGCTTCAGTCTGTAGGCAGGAAAAAACTGATGTCTCAGCTCAAAGGCAGTCAGGCAGGCAGAGTACCTCTTACTCAGCCTTTCTGTTCTGTTCAGGCTTTTAACTGATGAGACCC